GTTGTCTTTGTAGTAGTTATTCATAGTACAGGATGCAAACATGAGATCCTGTCCACACATTTTAATCAGTTTTACTCCTTTGCTTCCTTTCTTCCTCTCCCTCCTCCATCCATTGTTTGTATACTGGACTACTACCTAGGATCTTTTTATTACTTTGCTGTTGTGCCATCAGAAGAAAAGGGGCTCAACCCTTGAGAAGTGTATTTCTGTCTCTCTTGGCTGTATGTGTGTAGGAGTCCAGAGTAGCATGGCAAATCCACAGGACCAAAGACTGAAACTCTCCCTATCTTATTCCACCTTGCCTGCTTTCTTGTCTTGGCTTACATGGTCCAAGATGGTATAGCACTGCTCCTTTCTTTTAGCCAGTAGGAGGGGGTGAAGAAGAAACGGAAGCATTATCTTTCCCTGTAAAGCAGAGTTTCTAACCTTGGCACTGTTCACATTTGGGGCTGGATAGTTGTGTGTTGGGAAGGTTGTCCTATCATTGTCCGAAATTTAGCAGCATCCCTTGCCTCTACTTCTCAGATGCTAGTAGCTTGCCCCAGTTCTGACAACTAAAAATGCCCCTGTGTATTGACAAGTGTCACCTGAGGGCAATGACTCACCAGTTAAGCAACATTGCCTTAGGAATTGCCCACACTTCTGTTTATATCTCAATAGTAGTCTGAATGTTATTACTTGGGAATCCTATGGATAAAGGAACCAAACTGTGGAATTTATGACCAGGTGTCCAGCCAAAGCTGGCTAAGGAGGACAGAATGCTGGCAGATTCTCCCATACCTTTGTTGCCACCAAAAATGGAAAATCTGTTGCTGATGGATGAGTTGGCTCTATTCTTTGTTTTCCACACTATTTTAGTTATGATTCTTTCAAACTTCCTTGTATACAAATTCTGATGGTGGGGAATCCTTAGCACCCAAAAGATGAGACCTCTATTGGGATAGGTTGCCTATTATTTTTCAAGAGGGTGGCAAAGTAGAGAAACTAGTTTTTGAAATGGAGGCAGACCGATGTTGCATTTTTACTTGTGTTTTAGTACCACCTGCTGGCAATTTATAAATGCTGTTATTCCTCACTTTTGTGTTGTATTTTATTTGTTCCAAGCTTAAACACTGTAAATTTATAAATAATCCTTCGATAGAGAACAGTAAAACTTGAAAAGATTCTTTCAAATGAGGAATTCTTTAAACCATGATTTCTCATCTTTGACGCTACTGATATTTGGGGCTGGATAAACCTTCGTGGTGGAGACTGCCCTGTGCATTGTAGGATATTTAGAAGCCACCCTGGCTGCCAGTCTCTGTCCGTCCTCCCCAATTTGTCACAATCAAGTATGTGGCTTAATGACCCCTCATAGAAGAACAAAATTGCCTTGGGTTGAGAATCATTCCCACTGAGAAGTGTCTAAAATCCTTTAGTCTGCTAAGGTAGTGCAGTATGTCAGTGGTCTCCTGGCAGTTTCCTGGGAGTGACATACAGTGAAAAGCATGGGGAGAAAAGCCTGGGAGAAAATGGAGGCATGGGAGCTGCAGACATGGCTTCATTTTACACTCTGTAGAACACTGGTTGTGCTGATTCCCAATAAGAAGAAATAAAGTTTAGAGGATTCTGAAAGGCGCTGAAATCTCATATACTAAGGAAATCTACAGAGGCTGCTACCCAACACAGGAAGGAGCACAGAATATACCAGATTCCA